AGGGATTTTCCTCGAATTAAATCGCTCAAATGACGGGAAAAGGGGGATTTTTACCACAATCCAAACCCTTATAAAGGGCAGACAACCGGGCTTCCTCCTCAGTTTAAACCACAGGATGATGACAATGAGGGAGGTACCCTCAAATCAAGCCCATTATATGGCATCAATATTTTTCCCCTTCCAATTAAAATCGACCAAAGGGATTCCCTGTCAACTGATATACCTAACAGCCGTAAAAAGGCAGGTTTTCCTGCTATCTGTACCCTCAAAATCTCAGGTGAAAGGGGACTCCCCCCAGTTTAAACACAGACAATAATGGAGGAGCAGTTTCTTCCCTCAATTTTATCTCCTTTATCCTGATAGCCCCTATTTATTTTTTTTTTAGGGGACCGGGGAGAGAATGCAAAAATGAAATCAAAAGGGGGAAGAAGAAAAGTCCCCCCTTGCAAATCCACGCTGGCTCATCTGCTGTTTATTGGCACAAAGGTTTGTCCCTTGACACCTCCTTTAAGCAATGCTCTGCATCCAAGTGCATCCAGGTGATCCCCCAGACCCTACGAGATGCTCCCAACATCGTTCCATGAGACACCTCTGGGAGCCCACCATAAACCCCTCTCCTCCAGCTGCTCCATACCTAAGTGAGCTGAGGGAAACCCTCCCCCTAAAACATCCCCTGGCAGGACCCGCTCCCTCCTCATCATCGCTGCTCACACCTGGGGCTTCCCTGGGCCCTCATCATCCTCACAGCTCAGTTTGTGCTGTTGCCACCCCAAGAGCCAGGGCAGGGGCAGAATTAACTTGTTGCTCATTCCCTGCACCTGACACACTGGGGCACCAGGCTTTCCTTGCTATGGATGAGGACACCTCTCCCCCTCCAGGTGCCCAAAGCTGAAAACGGAATTCCACCTCCACAATTCCATGTGTCTGAGTTTCATAATTCCCAATGTAATTCCCCATGGATCATAAGCCATCACCTATAATTTTTTACTCTAGAATCATCACTGACTTGCCTTTCTGTGGAAGTGTTTGACACTAAAAACATCCTAAACATTCACAGAAAAGCGGTAAAAACCTCCTCCCCCTCCCCCTCCCCAAAAAAAAAAACCCACGTTAAAATATCCTTAAAAAACCCTGGAGAAAACCTAAAAAAAACCCAGAAAACCTGCTCAGCCCCCAACCTCTACCTGTCTCTCTCTAGCCTATGGATGTAATCCCTACAATTTTGCAGTGGTTCTTGTCCTATTGGGAGGATTCTGGGATTGTCCTGGTATTAGGGCTGCTGTGTGGTGCTGCTCGGAGTGGTCTGGGGCTGTCCAGCCTTAGGGTCACTGCCTGCAGCTGCTGTTGGGGAAAAATGGTGTTCTTAGGGGTGCTGCTTAGGGTGACCTTAGGGGTGGGGTGAGGGCTGGTGCACCTGTACCCTAACTCTTATAGGTACCCTGTACCCCTAATCTCCACTGTGTGCCCTCCACTGTGATAGGGATGGTGTTTAGGGTGAAGTTAGGGGTGGGGTGAGGGTTGCTACACCTGTACCCTAACCCTAATTGGTACCCTGTGTCCTGTGCCTTGGCCCCCTAACCCTCAGTGTGTGCTCTCCACCTGTCAAGCCCCCCACCTCTTTGCCCCTCAGCCTGCAATGTCTGTGCGTCACCCTCAAGCCCCCCCACATTGTCCCTTGGTCCCCTAACCTCCTCCATGACCTTTCCCCCCAGTTAGGGGTGGTTTCTAGGGTGAGGTTAGGGGTGGTGTGAGGTTTAATTCACCTGCCACTCTCAAGCACCCCCCACTTTGCCCCTCAAGCCCCCCCTCTGCCCTTGCCCCTCCAGGCACCCCGTGCTCCTCAGTCTCTTGTCACCCTTAAGCTCCCCCGCTGTAGCCTCTCAGTTTCTATGTGACACTGGAGCCCCCACTTTGCTCCTTGAGCTCTGCCTCTCAGCCGCCCCCATTCTCTGTGTCACCCTCCAGCCACCCTCCTGGCCGTTTTCCATTGGAAACAAAACTCAGCCCTCCCGTTTCTTGATGTCAGCTCAGAGGCTGCACCCAGCTGTTCATCTCTCTGCTTCTGCCAAGACATCGGGGTAGAAAGCTTTCCTTCCTGCACAAGAGGGCCATCGTTCACAACCAGATGCCTCTGGCAAAACTGGGTTGGCACTTCAGGCTGAAAATGGGATTCTGCCTCCTAAAATTGTTGGAGGATTTCTCCCAGACAAAAGCTGCCAGGAATTAGAGCTCTGGCTGGCCTAGCATAGCCTGATCCAACCTCTAAACTAGTCCCAAGACGCTGAAGTGGAAGGCTCTCCTTCCTGTGGTAAAGAGCCTCTCCTGGTTTCCTCAGACCTCACTACAGAGGCAGAACATGCTCAGCAAGACCTGAAATTCCTAAAAATTTGCCAGGTGTCACCCATCAGTGAAGGAGCCATAGCAGCTCCTCCATCCCGTGCCAGGCTCCGCTAACCCTGCTCTGACTGCCAGTGTCCCCCTTCCCTGTTAAGGGGGAGCAGATACAGAGGAGAAAAATGGAGCTAAAGACAGACCCTTTATTGGAATCGTGCTGGGAGGGCCCACCAGGCAGAGCCCCCTTGGATGGGGCGGAGAGGTTACAAGAGTCTGGGGGGCCCAGGAAGATGGTCCTGGGGGCTGCCCGTGGAGGCGAAGGTGGGGGAAGGTTCAGCTGCGCTCCTCCAAGCTCAGACGGTCGAACAGGTACTCGCCGAGGCCGGCCGAGGCTGCCCCAGGCCCAGTGGCCCCACCAGTGAGGCGTCGCAGGTTGGTGGCATGGTCCCCCAGCACCTTGATGGCCTTCACTTGCTCGTCCAGGTAGTGGGACTCCAGGAAGTCACAAAGCTGAGGGAAAAAGGGAGATCGGGCAGGGCTGAGGGTCTTGGGGAAGTGAGGGACCCCAAGGAGCAGCTGGAGATTACAAGGACTCTGGGAGAGGGAGCCCCGGGGTGGCCCCCGTGGGAAAAGGGAGGAATTGGTAGCATGCTGGAGAAGTCAGATCCTTGGGGGGCCGGGGGGGAAAGCCAGAGCACCACTCACGTGGGGGTCTCCCTTCTCAGCAGCCAGGCCATGCAGGTCCAGCAGCGCCTGGTTCACCGACTTCTCCAGCTGCAGCGCTGCTTCCACCGCCTCCAGCGCCGACCCCCAGGTGTCCTGCTCTGGTTTCTGTGGGGCACGGACCGTCACCCCGAAGGGCCCAGGTACCCCGAGGCGAACCGCCCTCCAACCACAGCCCCACACCCCCGGGGGAAGAGAAGGGGGAGCAGCAGCCCCAGATACCCGGAGACACCCCCCCACCTTGATGTCCTGCAGGAGAACACGGCCCCCGCGGCGCGTCTGGAAGCGCAGGAGCCCCTCGGCATGTTCCCGCTCCTCCCGCGACTGCTCCAGGAAAAACCGGGCCAGCCGCGACAGGGCCACGTCGTCCCTCTCGAAGTAAAACCCCTACGGGATAGAGGGGAGGGAGAAAAAGTCAGGGGGAATCCCCCAGGCCCCCCCCCCCCGAGATTCTTCGGATTTCGCCCTCCGGAGCGTCGCCGCCCACACCAGCATCGGGTCGGGAGGAAAGTGAGTACTGGGATGCAGGAAGGGGGATCCCCCAACCCCGGGGGCGGGGGTCCCGAGCCCCCTACCATGGAGAGGTAGACGTAGGAGGCGTGGAGCTCCATGTTGGCCATGCGGTTGACGGCGGCTTCGCAGTCGCGGTGGTAATTCTGGCGGATCTGGGAGTCCATGGCGGGACGGGTGGACGGACGGATTTGGGAGCGGCGGGATGGACGGATGGACGGCCGGGGTGGACGACGAGCCGGGAGCAGCCGGTTCCGTTCAAGCACTGTTGAAGCGAGAACGCGGCTGTGGCTGCTCAAACCCCGGCGGAGGCTTTTATAGCGCGTCCCGGCTGGGCGGGGAAAAGGGGGCACTCCCCTCCTCTGTCCCCTCCGGCAGGGTGCGGTGGCCTTGGCCCTTGTCCGTGTTTGTCACACGGTCCCACAGTCAGCATGACTGGGCAGGATCGTGGAGGAGTCCGAGCCCACGTGTGTGCCCCCCCAGGAGTGGTCCCCCGGGGCGCGGAGGGGGCGGCTGGGGGAAAGCCCCGGTTCCCTGCTGGCTTGAGGGGCACAGGGAGCCTGGCGGAAGTTGGGGAGGAGCTGGGGGGTGTTCGTTGGGTGTCCTGCCAGGTCTTGAGGTGCCCGTTAATCGGACTTTGATAGGTTATGGGGTGCCGAAGGAGGTGACTCGGCGCCAGGAGCATAAAAGAGGAACTTGGCCTCGGGGAAACGCTGACTCCGCTTTTCCACCGCTCCAGGACTGGGGCGAACTCGGGGAAACTGGTTTGGAACTGGGAGCCCCACAGCGCTTCCCTTCTCATCCCTCATCCCTTGGGGTGCCCGCAGCTCCCGAGGGGGGCCGGCTCGGCTGGAGCTGAGAAGAGAGTCCGGGGAGAAGGGGGAGCAGCAGCCCCAGATACCCGGAGACCACCCCCCACCCCACCGAAGCTATCCCAAAGTCCCTTTGGCGCTGGATCCAGAGGCTGCGCTGCAGGAAGGACACGGCCCCGTGGAGGACGGTCCAGATGTGGGACCCCCACCCTAACACCCCTCCGCGGCTGTTCAGTGAACCCCGGGATCGGGAACCCCCACACACGTTTTCAAGTCCCACTGACCCCAAACATCCCCCTGGCCCTGTGGGAGGGAAGGCCCCTCTCCGGCAGGCACCCCTCCCCACTCCTGCTCCCTCAACCAGGACCCCCAGTCCCGGAGATGTTGTTGAACAAAAGAGAAGGGGAAGGGACCCCGATTCCCCTCAAAACGGCCCAGGGCAGCCGCCCCCCCACCAGCCACGTGGCAAAAGCGAAAGTGAAAGAGGCCCCGCTCCGCCCCCCCCCAATTCCTGTCCCCGCCCTTCCCCATCTGCACCCCGAGATCCCCGAGGGCTCCCCGAGGTTTCTGGGGGCAGGACAGGGACACGGCGGAGGGGAGGAGACACACGCCCAAGAAGCATCGCATTTGCCTTTTATTTCCATCGAAATTCCCGAGATACAAAAACCAAGGTACAAAAAAAGAGAAGAAAAAAACACTACGGAGAAAAGCAATGGGGGGAAGGCAGAGCCCACCCATTTTTTGGGAGTGGGGGTTCCCCGTGACGTCATCCCCGAGAGCACCATGGGGGTTAGGGGAAGGGGTCACTTTGCCCCCCCCGCCTCGGGGACACGGGACCTCCAAAACCGGGGGGTTGAGGGGGTGTAAACGGGGGGGATGCGGCCCCCCCACCCTGAGAGCCTCCACCCCGGGAGGGGGGTATTGCACCTGGGGGGGCCCTTTTTGGGGGGTGGGGACCCCCAATAAATACTCACCCTACAGCCATGGCTGTAACCCAACCCCCCACCTCATTTTGGGGGGGGGGGTCACAGAGACACCCCACCGACCCCACCCACCCCCATATCGGGGGTGGAACTGCAGGATCCCCCCCACTCAAAGCACCACAAGTCCTGGGGTCAAACCGAGGCCAGGGAGGCCCAGCACCGGGACTGGGGGGCACGGGAGGGGAAGGGGGGGTGTCCCCATCCCATTCACCCCCAACCCCAAATCCTAGCTGTGGCCTCCGGACACTTATGGGAAGGGCTGGGGGGGCCTGGGGGAGAGAGGGGAGGGTCCCCCCAGCTCAACCACTGCCCCAAAATCCAGGTGAGCGAGTCCTGTTGGTTAAAAAACCCCCCGGCCCTGGAAGGCACTGGGGGTCAGCACCATCCCTGCCGGCAGGGCCAGTCCGGGGAGGGGTTCCGGGGGTGGGGGAGAACAAAACATGGCCCCCCCGAGAGTCTAAGACATCTTCCAGATGGTCAGCGAGGCCGTGAGGACACCAGCGGCGAAGATGGTGATGGTCTGCCAGGTGGGGGTCCCGAAGTGGGACAAGAGCCCTTCCTGGGAGGAGAGGACACGGGAGGGCAAAGGTCACCACGTGCTGGGGGTTCCTAAACCTCCCTCCAGAACAACCACACTCAGAGGAATTGGGAAACAGAGGACAGAGAAGAGGATTTAGGGTAAAAGGGGCTGCTGGGGAGGGGAAATTCCCAAACAAGGGCTCACCCCCACAAGGAATGGGGGTTAGGGGCCTCACCCATCCGCCCTGGGCCTGGATCCAGGCCAGCACGTGTTCCTGGAGATACTCCATGGTCCAGCGCAGGATAGTCTGGACCAGCTCCGGGACCTTGGTGCAGAGAGCCTGCTGGGAGCAGGGAGAGGTCAGAGGGGGCTAAGGGGGACCAGGGAAGGCCACTGGGGAGCTCCACACCCACCTTCAGCACCAGTTTGCATGCAAAGTAGAACAGGGCAACCACACGGCCCCAGTTGAAGGTGCCATCGGCGAACATCTCCTTGGCCACACGGAAAAACAGCTTTTTGGGGGCATCACACCCCACCTGCTCAATCATCCTGGGGCAAGAGACGGTGGGAACGGTCAGGGCAGGCTTGGGGACACCACAGACACCCCCAAGAAGTGGCAGCTGCCCACCTCTGCAGCTCCATGTTGCTGTCGAGCTCGTCGCCGATGCGCCGCAGGCACTCACTGAGGCGTTTGGTGTCAGGGCTGCTGGGCTGGGTCTCACCCAGCTCGGCAACACTCAGGGCCACAGCCTGGGGGTCCCCGCAGCGCTCCACACGGTCCCGCACGAACCTGGGACCCCCGGAACTCTGGGTACTCACTGTGTCCTCCCGTGGCTCTGTGTGTCCCCTTTCCCTGTGTGTTCCCTTTCCCCTGGAGCCCAAGTCTTTCCCACCAGTGTCATGCCTGGAGCTCAGGTCCCCCCAGGTCCCAGATGGACCCCAAATTCCAGGATCCTCTCAAGTCCCCCCTAATGTCCCATCCCTAATGGACCCCAAGTCCTCCCTGTGCCCTGTGTCCCCCTGGGATCCTCTCAAGTCCCCCCACATCCCCTAATTCCTCATTCACTCACAAGTTCCCCCTTGCACACACCGTGACCCCCCCAGTTCTGCATCCTCCCAAGCCCCACCAAGTTTTGAGTCCCCCCCTGCATCCCGTGTCCCCCCAGAATCCTCACAAGTCCCCCAGGTCCCTCCCAAGTGCCCCCATGTCCCCCTGCGCCCCCAAATCCTAGGATTCTCCCATGCCTCCCCAGTTCACCCCAAGTCCCCCGCCGCACTCTGTGTCCCCCTAGTTCCACACATTCTCTAGTCCCCCCAGGTCCCCTCTGCATCCCAAGTCCCCCCCGCAGTCCCAAGTCTCCCTGCACCCTGTGTCCCCCAAGTCGCCCCTCGTTCCCCCTGCACTCTAAGTGCCCCCTGCACCCTGTGTCCTCCCCTTGTCCCCTTGCACGCCACGTCCCCCAAGTCCACAGTCCCTGACCCGTAGCCAGTGTTCCCTCGCCATCCTCTCACGTCCCCCAGATCCTCTACCAGTCCCAAGTTTCCTCTGCACCCCGTGCCCTACGAGTCGCCCCTTGGCCCCCCCAGCCCCGCCCGTTGTCCCGGCGGTCCCCGCCTCCCCTACTCACGCCCGCAGCAAGATCGCCCCCGTCTGCATGATCTGGTCCGAGGAAGCCCCTGCGGAGAGCGGGGCGCTTACGAGGGAGAAGCGGCCACCGACCCCAGCCGCCGCCCCACCCCCGGCCCGTACAGGCCGCGCCCCTCCCCGAGTCCCGCCAAGCCCCCCACTCACCACCGCCCCCCGGGGGAGGGGCGGGCTCTCCGGAGCCGCCCCCAGGCCCGGCCCCGGGATCATCGCCGCCGCCGCCGCTGCCGCCGCCGCCGCCGCTGCCCCCGCCCCGCTGGGCCGAGGCCGCCGCCGCCGCCATCGCGCCAGAACCACGTGGCCCCCGCGGGCGTCACGTGAGACCGGCAGCGTGGGCGGGACACCTTGGTCACGTGATCGGGGGAATAGGCTACGCAGGGGCGTGAGCGGAGGCAAGGCCACGCCCATTGTTCCGTCCCCGGCCCCACCCCTTGGCCCGTCACTCATTTCTCGGTCCCACCCCCCTCCCGGGCTCGGTCCCGCCCCCGCAGCCCCCCGGGACCCCCGGGATCACCCCCCATTCCCAGGGGTCACACCAGGGGGTCACCACTCCCATTGTCCATGGGGTCCCGGGGCGACGCCCCCGCGGCGCTTCCACCTCCCCCGGCCCGAGGCGGCGGCTCTGGACGGGGCGGGAGGAGCGGCCGCAGGCGCGCGGGGGAAACAGGGGGGCGGTTCGGGCTTGGGGTGCGCTCTGAGTCCGTGTGTGTGTGACCCCCGTGCAGACATGAGCCCCAAAAGCTGCCTCGGCTGCACCAAGTGGTTCCTCTTCCTCCTCAACCTCCTCTTCTTCGTGAGTGGGGCTGGAGAGATCTTGAGGGGCAGGAGGGAGAGGGGGGAAGTAGAATTTGGGAGGGCAGGGGGGAGATGCGGGACATACAATTTGGGGGGACTTGGGGGAGATGTGGGAACCTGGGGCTGAGGAGACACGGGGCGACCTGGGGGGACCAACAGTCTCCCAGTGTTTCTGGGCACTGGGGGTCCAGCATCTCCTGACCTGGGCCCCCCCCGGCCCCTGCAGTTCCTGGGCATATTCCTCCTCGCCTTCAGCTTTTGGCTTCTCTTCGACCGGCAGAGCTTTGCCACCGTGCTGGGTAAGGGACTCCCAAAGTGTGGGGTACCCCAAGACATGTGGCACCCCAAGCTGGGAGGCTCCCTGACCCCCCCGCCGTGTCCCCCAGGGTCACCGCTGGTTAGCCTGAGGGTCTGGTCTTACGGCTTCTCTGGGGTTGGCATCACCACAATGCTCCTCGGATTCCTGGGGTGCCTGGGGGCCCTCAAGGAGGTCAAGGTCATGCTGGGGCTGGTGAGCTGGGGGGCATCGAGAGGGGTCACGGAACTGGGAGGGGGCTGGGGTAGCTGTGCTGCAACTTCCTGGGGCAACCGCGGGGCCACGTGCTGCCACCACATCCTGTGCCTGGGGATCAGCAGTGGTGAATGGGGGGAATCCTCTGAGCTGCCCCCGGTACTGGGGAGGGGCTGGGAGGGAGGTCTGGTTGACTCCCACCTTCCCTGTTTATCCCAAAAGTATTTTGGGCTCCTGCTGCTGCTCTTCACTGCCCAGATCACCGTGGCCATCATCGTCTACACGCAGCGTGCCACCGTGAGTGCAGGGGTGAACCCAGAGCTTGCGGGAGGACCCTGGGGTCAGAAGGGACCCTGGAGTCATGGGACAGTGATATGCCGATCCCCCTTCCCAGCTGGCTACAAAGGTGGCTGCCTACACAGAGGAGCTGATCCGGGGGTACCCAGCCCAGGGACCACCTGGGGACACCCATGAGAGCTGGGACGCTGTCCAGCAACAGGTGAGATCCCCTAAAAGGACCCCAAAGCCACCCCACGGTCACCACACTGGCCCTCTGCCCCCCCAGCTTGGCTGCTGTGGCTGGAAAGGACCCCAGGACTGGTACCACCATGATGACGCCACCAGGGACAGGGACAGGGCCATTGCCTGCTCCTGCCTCAGGGCACACAACAGCACCCACAAGACCCCATCGATGCTCCCCCACGGCCGCTGCCCCATGGCTGCCCTCCAGGACATCTTCCCCAGGGTGAGGCACGAGGGAATCAGGGGGTCCTGGAGCTCTGCGGGACGCTCAAGGTGACCCCCAGTTGTCACCCCAGGGCTGCAAGGAGAGGGTCCAGACCTGGCTGGCTGGAAACCTGGTCACCATCGTGGGGGTTTGCATAGGCATCGGCCTGGGAGAGGTAAGGAGGATGCCCTGGGACAGAGGGCTGAGCTGGGGGGGCCTGGGGGTGGTCAGAAGTCTGTGGGACCATAGGTTGGGTGGGCTGGGCAGCAGCTGGAGGTGCCAGGGAGGGTTCAGGGGATGGTCCGTGGGGAGCCAGGGGTTGGTGGGGATTCAGGGTGGCCAGAAGGGTCCGTGGGGCGTTCAGGGTGGCCGGGAGGGGGGTCAGGGGTCCGAGGGGTTCCGGGAGGGCTGATCCCGCTCTCTACTCCCAGCTCTTCCTTCTGATGCTGTCGATGTTCCTGGTCCGGAACCTGGACTCCCACTACGAGAAGCTGCTGAGGGGACTCTGAGGGGGCCAGGGTGGCGTGGGGGGAAGCGCGGAGGGTTTTGTCCTTCAATAAAAGCCGTGGGGAAGCCGCGGAATCGAGACCGGACCGGGAGCGCGCGGCCCGCGTCGAGCTGCGCGTGCCATGCCCCTTCCTCCGCCCCTGTCCATGTGACCACGCCCCCTCCCCGCTGGGTGGGAACGGCGCGCGCGAGGCCCCGCCCCTTTCCTCCGCCGTGAGGCGATTCCCGCTCCCCCTCAGTCCCACGTCGCTCCCGGGACGCCCCAGAAACCCCCGAGCCCCGGCTGTGCCCTGGGACAGCGGCGACACCGGAGCACCCCTGAACACGATGGCTGCAGAGGGTCCCTGCTCCCCGGGCGCCGTCATCCCCCTGCCAGGTGGGGGGACCATGAGGGAGCGGGGCGGGGGGGTGAGGCGCCGGGGCCCTCCATAACCCATGTACCCCCCTCAGCCCCTGCCGAGAGCGGCTGCTCGGACGAGTTTGCCCTGGACTGCACCTTCGCTGCCTGCGACCCCGAGCGAACAGGTAGCCAAACCCCCTGGGGCCGTGGTGGCCACAGCCACTCTCCTCCGGGAGTCACCACCAACGTCCCTGACCCCTCCGTCCGGCCCAGGGATGGTGCAGCCGCAGCGGGTGGTCGAGTATGTGGCAGCGATGACGGGGCACAGTGGGCACGATGGGCGGCTGCGGGCACTGCAGCAGGCTCTGGACCCTGCGGCTGCAGGCACGGCGCTGGACTGGACCCGATTCCGCACCGCCATGGGCGCCTGGATCGCAGCGTGCCGGCAGGACGGGTCAGTGCTGAGAGATGGGGCTGCGCCTGAGGCCAGCTGGACTACTCAGTTGTGCTGACCCGTGGCTCCGTCCACGCAGGGCCGAGGAGCAGGATGTGGCGACTGGTGACGCTGGACCAGTGCCAGTGGGTGGGTGTTGGCACAGGAAAGGGGAGTCGGGGTGGCCCCAATGGGGATGCAAACACAGCCCACTGTGTCCCATCCCGCAGAGGACGATGGACATGTGTCCCCAGCAGCTGCCCAGCTCCAGGGTGACAACATGGATGTCACCACCCTGTAAGTGCCTGCTGCGGGGACACCCCGCCATCCCTGGCCATGCTCCCAGGAACACTTAGGGACCCGTGGGACTCTCCAGCAGTGCCGAGACCGCGGGGCTGCGGAGCCGTGCCCAGCACCTGGCAGCCCAGAATGCCAAACTGCAGCGGGATGCTGAGCTGGCCGAGGAGCTCAACACCCGCCTGGCCGAGGAGATTGCACAGCTCCAGGCACAGCTGCGAAGGTGCTTCTAAGGGCTCCCGGGCATGGGGTCTGGATCAGCATCCCGGGAATGCTGAAACGCCGTTTGGCCCCGGCAGTAGCCGGCAGGCACTGGAGCAGGCCAGGGTGGCTGTCGAGGAGCTGGATGACATGAAGGCCACAGTGAAGCAGCTGGAGGAGGAGAACACGGAGCTCCGGCGACAGGCACGGCATGCGGTGAGAGGCTAAGCTGAGGTGCTCTGTGGTGTCACACGTGGTGTCACACAGTGCCCCCTCACAGCCATGCCTTCCCTGCCCTTCCCAGGAGAAGCAGCAGTACAGCCTGGGCTCGCGAGCCGAGGCTCTACAGGAGGAGGTGAGCCTGGCACTGGGAGCTACCCCGGCGGGTCAGTGCCACAGGGAACCCCAGCCCTGTTTCACCCCTGGCAGAACCAGCAGCTCCTTGCCGAGGGCCAGGGACTGCGGGAGCAGATCCAGGCACAGGCAGCCCGGATGGCCAGCCTGGAGGTGAGCGGTGGCACAGCTGCCATGGTGGGCGGTGCTGGGGGCTGTGTTAGTGATGAGGAGTTCCTGTCCCCATCCCTCTGCCCAGGCCCAGCTCTGCCATGGCACTGCCCTGCTGTCTGCCCGGGACACAGCCCTTGCCCAGGTGAGCACTGCTCAGTGACACTGCCACCACCTCAGCTGCCACTGGGGCCACCCCCAGCCCTCTCCCACAGCCTTTCATGTCCAGGCCGTGTCCCACAGGCAGGGCAGCGGACGCAGGAGCTAACAGCAGCACTGGAGGAGTATGAGCGGGTGGTGCAGGTACGGCAGGTCCAGCCTCGGTATGAGCCTAGACAGCGGTCACAGAGCCCCTGGGCCACAGCAAAGCCACATAGTGGCCACCCTCTCTGTGGGGCTCAAGGGCACAGGGTGACAACCCCCTTCTCCCCCCAGGAACTGCGTCTGGAGACAACGCGGCTGCGGCAGCAGCTGGGCCGGATGCGGGACGCATGGGCCATGTACGGGGGGGACGTGTGGGCGGGGGACATCCTCAGGAGGCTCCGGGGTCCTCACCTCGGCATCCTCACCCTCCTCTCCCCACCACAGGCGCCCATGGTGCCCGCGCAGCCAGCTGGACATCCAGGCCACAGTGGCAGTGAGCCAGGTAATGGTGGGGTCAGGGGAGACCCTGCAGGGTCCCCTCAGCCACTGACCCAGAGGCTCTGCCCAGGTGACAGGAGACAAGGAGGAGGAGGACACGGGGATGGTGCTGTCCAGAGGAGGAGGCCTGGCAGGGAGCAGTGAGGAGGTGGCCGAGGTGGTGGCCCCACAGGCACTGTTGTCATCATGGACACCACTGTCACCATGGGCTCTGGTGCTGCTGGCGCTGCTGGCCCTGTTCTACCTCCTGCCACACCAGTGGCCCCAGCCCCAGATGCGCTACCGGAGCCCCCCACCCCTGTGAGACCCCCAGTAAAGACCAGTTGGGCACTGTTGCATCCATCCCACTCTGTACCAGTTCCCAAACGCTCATCCCAGTCCACCTAGTTCCTCCCAGAGTAGGGTCAGAGTCCAGGTGTCAACATCAGCTTTATGGGCACTGCAGGGGGCCAGGCTGGGCCCTGTCATCTCTCCGTGGCTCCAGGAGATCCCGGTGTAGCCCCCAAGGGCTTCCAGCAGGGAACTGGGGGGTCCCTATCTCTCACCAGTGGCTCAGGCCTGGACAGGGGCAGAGGGAGAGGACTTGATGATCATGGGGCCTCCCCTGGCCCCCCTCAGGACATTCCCAGTGATCCCAGTATCCAGGAGCCCTCCCAGTACCTGTGTTTGTCCCCAAGTACTGCTCAGCTGCTCAGGTCCCATCCTGCTCCGATGTCGGGGGTCCCTGTGAGAGCTGGGGGGGCTGAGGGGAGTGACCTCCCAGTGCTCCCCAGTGCTCCCAGTGTCTTCAGTCCTCCCAGTGACCCCAAGAGAGCCAGCGCCCACGGTGTCCCCAGTGTCCCCAAAACACACAGCACCCCCAGTGCCCCCTGCGCCTCCACCACCCCACATGCCCCCAGTAGTGCCATCCCCTCCAGTGTCCCCAGTGCCCTTCAGTGTCCCCAGTGTCCCCACCTGGGCACAGGGTCTCCTCCACAGCACCCAGGCCGCTGCTGCCAGGCCCAGGGCCCCCCCAACTCCCCCCAGCAGCACCAGCCCATGTCCAGCAGGGCTGGGGGGTCCCTGCCTGGCCCCCAAGGTCCCCTCGTGCCGCACTGCTGGGCTGGTCAGTGTTGGGCCTGGGGGGAGACAGTGGTCAGTGGCTGCCCTGGGGAGCTTACGAGGGTCTCTCAGGGGTCCCGCGGGGGTACCTGGGTGGCAGCGCAAGCGGGCGCAGCCAGGGAAGTGGGGGGGTCTCCCTTGCAGCCCCCCCAGGTGCTGCGCCAGGGTCTCCAGTAGCTGCGACACATTCACCGTCTCCAGCCGGACACAGCCCTGGGGGTCCTGGGGGGATGTCATAGGAGCCCCCCAGGGGACCCCAGACCCCTTCTGGACCACCCTGGGAAGCCACAAAAACGCCCCGGAGTTCCTGCACTCCCCCCCCCCCC